AAGATGCCTGTACGCTGGAAGTGATGCAGCCATAGCTGCCCAGCGAGTTAGCATTAGTAGTAGAGGGTTAGTATGTAGCTATGAGTAGTATCCAGAGTAGATCCTCAYTAGTATTGAAGAGTGTGTATGCATCATAGTAGGAAGGGATTGAGGCTGAGAGTGTTCATTCAAGGTTGGCTATGGAAGATACTTACCTGCGTTGGATGTGACCTGCAGAGGTGGCGCTGATGAGTGGTGACCACATTGATGACTTGGAGACTATCTRCRDGRGTAGCACTGATTCWCTGGAAGGCATATTGATGAGTTGGCAAGATATTGGTGTTGCGCTGATGAGCGCTGGACTCAGGGGAACTTTGAAACACTTTGTATTCATATTTCTGATAAYATAAACTGTGAAACTCGGTCCTCATCTTCTCTATCTTTGTCTATTGTCAGACTACTGTTCATTGTGTGTGGGAGTACGATGCATGGCATGTACACACTTGCGTGAGATGGTCCCCAGGACACATGCACAGTGCACGCGACTTCCCTCCCTTGCTGCGGAGTTCCCTGCTGCAAATTGCCGTCCTGAAGCTCATCATCCTCACAGTGTTAACATTCATCAATGCAGAACATATATCCGCATGCTGGGTCCACCCTTGTGTGGCTCTAAATTCTATCTTTTCCATACATCGCACACAGCTGTTCGCAGTCTGTCAAATCACTGCAATAGGTCGTCATCAATTTGCCGTGGACTCCACCGCTGCAAATCGGTGTCCTGATGCTCATCATCCTCACAGTGTTAACATCCATCAGTGCAGTAACATTATCCTTGCGATGGGTCCACCCTTGTGTTCTTTTCGATACGTTGCACACAGCTGTTCGCAGTCGGTCAAATCACTGCGATACAGCTGCAAACCCAGATTAACTTCGACATATAGCGATTTGGGAGTGTTCGCTCCAAAACCCTGACTTTCAGTTGCAGGCCTCCCACCACTGGTCCACCCTTGTGTGGCTCTGAATTCTATCTTTTCGATACATTGCACTCAACTGTTCCTTAGTGTGATACGCCTGCGATCCCAGATTCACTTCAAAATCTAGCGATTTTTGTGAATGTTCGCTCCAACACCCCGACTTTCACTTGCAGGCCTCCCACCATCAGTGTCGTCACAACATTGACAATGGCACCATCCGGAGCTGAAGAGCACCTCAAGGCTCATGATGATGATCCAAACTTTCTTCATCTCCCTGCCAACTTCTGACATCAAAGAGTGCGACCACGGAATCCAAGCGCTTTCCTCACCTCACAGCTGATCTTGGGAGCAGCTTTCCATTCACAGCAACATGAAAAACAAAATAAAAAAGTGTTCGAAAAACACAGAAACTCCAAATTTGAAAAAAAAAAAAAAAAAAAAAACCTTGAAAGAAAACTTCAAAGGACTCTTAAACCACCAGTGCCTACCGCATTTTTCGTACCCCGCCCCGGTTCGAATGAATATGGAGTATTATGGACCCGACAGGCAGACCGGTTCGGCTACCGCGTTGATGGCCGCAACAACTGGTACATACTGGTGGTTTAACGGCGGTAAACTGTCCCCATGTAAAAAGAGAGAGAGACTTTCAAAGGAACCACTTGTCCCAGTGGGACATGGGACACTGAGACTTCACTCTAGAGTCTAAACAAAAAGATTACTTGCGGTCGACAAATGCACCTGGACGACGTGTATGCACAATAACAGCGAAGAGGTGGGGAGATGGATCCGAAGCAACAGCCCGGTATCTGCTTATTCTGTGATGAAGAATTTGAACACCGGCCTAAAACCTTTCTGACGGCAAGAATTAACAAGAATACTATACACTGTGTACAATCTATACAAGGATAAAAAAACTTTTAAAAAGTTAAAACGGTAATAATAGACTCTGAAGGGTCCAATTACTCATCCAACGATTCTGACCACAACAAATTTCATTCTTGTGGCTACCTCCAAGGTTCTAGAATCTAGATCCGTCTAGGAGATGTTGTACTCTAACTTCCGATCACCTCGTTGAGAGAGATTCAGTGCCCCCCTGGAGCGAGGCTCGATGTGTAGGTATTGAAATCCGACCAATGTTATCTAAACTTCCAAAGTCGACTTTTACCTGCTCATTACAACCGTCAGATTTCCTAACAAAGGCCTAGTCAATGTAGTCATGGCCCAGTTGGACTTCGACCCGAACTGTCCTCTTTTCACCTTATCCAACACCTCCATCTCCTCGCTCCCCTCGCCAAGCCCCAATCCCCACCCCGCTCTGCACAAAAGGGCGCTGCAACAGTGTCAAATGAACAGCCCAACTTTGCTTCCACAACCAGAAATCAGTCTACACTTGCGTAACCCGCATCTGCACTTGTGCAATCCCGCAGATTCAAACTGATTTCACAAAGGTGTGAACGCAACTTCAACCTGCCTCCGCAAAGGTAATGGAAGTGTTTCCCTCCACCGCATCTGCACTTGTGCAATCCTGCAGATTCAAACTGATTTCACAAAGGTGTGAACACAACTTCAACCTGCCTCAGCAAAGGTAATGAAAGTGTTTCCCTCCACCACCCCGTGCTCGAGCTTGTCTCTCTCAGGTTCCTTCACGCAGTTGTCCCTTCCTCAGCGCACACCACACACCATAATGAATGAGTTGACCGAGGGTGTGACTGGCTTCGCAACGCAAGCCACACACCATAATGAATGAGTTCACAGAGGGTGCAACTGGCTGCACACTCCTGGCGGTCCTTTAAGATAATAGGGTCCTAGGCCTTCATCCAACTCCGGGATTTCCCGCCTCTTCTCTGTGTCTGAATGTCGAATTGATTCAGACCACGTTCATCATGTATGCAATGCAATGCCATGCGGTAATTACTGGAAGGGAAGGGCGCCAGTGCTCTCATCCAACTGAACTTTTCCCTCTTCTTGGGCCTAGCTCCACCACTCACGACACACACAAAAGACATATGTACGGCGGTGCACGTTGTAGCGGAAGATGTATCCTCATTTTGCATCTTTGGACTGGTGGAGAGAGGCCCCTTATCCGGCCCTGATCGATGGTCCAGAAATGACATACAATATACAAAATGAAGGGGAAGCACCTCAACACCCCAACAGTGCAGCGAAAGGTTAATTTCAACACGGGATGTTGAGCCGTGCATACACACACGTACACACGCATGCATGGAGGCATACCTGGCTGCCCACAGAACGATCACCAAGACTGTTCAGAAGCACAAACAAACCCTCCTTTAGGTGAGCCTCGCCGGTACAGCCACATGCAGAAGAGTGGTTTGCAGAACTGGCAAGTCAGAGTCATATTGTCTTGAGCCGGCTTGAGAGAATAGCGCCACAGAGAACACTGATGATGGGTAATGGCTACCACTTGATGACCACCGGCTGGCCTGTGGCACTGCCTGTGTGTGGAATTCCTACCCCGTGGCACTCCTGCAACTAGCCAACAGACACAACCTGACGAAATGAAGCACTTAGTCTGCGTCTCCTTACAAATTACTTGTCCTTTGTCACCTTCTTCTGGACCCCTCTGGTGGCGGGCCAGAGTGCTTTTCATCTGACTCCCGCTTCTTGTCAGGATCAAGTGCATTGCGCACACCAAGCAACGCACGTTGCATCGCTCCTGCCAGCCCTGATGCTGGCGCAACAGCAGCAGCTGGCGTCGCTTTCAGTACGACCTTAAGAGCACGCCCTGCCCCCGCCTGTTTGTATGCATCCATTGTGCCTCCCACAAGGGATCGTTTTGATCTCCCCCAACCTCGAGCAAGACTATCATATGCCTGCAGCTCACATAACACAATCAAAACATAGTTGCAGATGTCAGTTGGATGCATGTGGCCGAGCCAGACTGTTTCATTCGGCATTCACCAACTCATCAAGAGGCTGAACCCCCGACAGTCTGCCCAGGATGCATTTGACTGATGATCGACGGCGCACCATGTCACCCCTGAGAAAAAAAAAAAACTTTACGCACACCAACCCTGCAATGTGTGGGTGTGTGCATGCTTGCACGTGTGTCGTAAATTTTCACCACAACAGCCCCTGTTCCACCCAGATGAGTGAATCCAAAATCAAAGCACCTTTACCTCTATTGAAGACCACGAACCACACTTGAGATGAGCCAATCCAACAATGAAACAGTTTTACCTCTTTAGCAAGCAACATGGAGCATAATAGAAAACCCCTGCAGGGAGTCCGGAAGGACCCTGTAGATAAACTAGCAACGGTCTCCTCGACAAGTGCGTGCGTGCCAGCGTGTGTGTGTGTGTGTTTTAGATTTTCCCCACAACAGCCCCAATTCCACCCAGGTGAATAGATTCGGAATCAAAGCAGTCTTTGTCCTACATGTCCAACATATTAAAGCCATTTTATAGCTAGACAGTTTTTTCAACTTTTTTGGTTGTGCAATAACCCATGCCATATGTCGTCTGAGGGCCGAACGCGGCAACCCTCAGTCCAGGCCACATAAGGGGGCAAAGGCCCTAAGTCTGCTACAGGGCCTGGACGCCAGGCAGTTGACCGTAGT